CATTGGATAAGCTGGGCATGTTCATAAAAGGAAAAATCGTACTTAACACTGTTCAGAATTTAAAAGGTGAATATCAATACCATAAATGGTAATCAATTCAGATCGTTCAATACGGGCTGATATGATCCCTGTACCTTGTTCCAGTTAGCTGCTCAACTGCTACTTTTTCCAACTAATTGGAAAATAGAGACACACTTCAGAGGAAGCTTTCCTAAGAGTTACTGAGATTTTTTTGGTAGTATTTTGATAAGACTTTGCCATTTTCTACCCAAACTGGATATAGTCTCCTGGTCTCCACTGTTGTAATTACACTCACTCATAATACAGATCACTTTCATCTACTCAGTAGTAAAGCTCATGGCACAGTGGTATTTCACAGCTGTAGTACTAATCTCAAAGAATTTGACTTTGCAAGGAAGAATTTTTATAGTTGTGCTTTGCACCTCTGCACCTCAGTTTTGAGGAAAATAGCAATTCTTGATGTCAGCCAGACACTGCACAAATTAGGGGTGCTGTGAAAAAAATTACTGAGACTCTTAAGGGCATTATAAACCAAGAAAGTTTGAAAATCTTTAGTTTTTTACTATTAAGATTAAGCTGTCTCTGGTACACAGAACTTACACAGGAATATATTTTCTTTCTGCTACTGGATTGTTAATACTTTTTTGGCACTTAGACCAGTGAGAATTTCAGATATGTAGCATTTGGATTGCATTATTTCTGGGCTGTACCACATAGTACATATGACTTAAGAACTAAGTGATTACTACAGCCATTTTAGTAGAGGTTAATGAAGCAAGGCTTCAAACCAGGAGGTGGTTGCTTCTAGCCCTCCCTTATGTATGATGCCAGCTGAGTTTTGGGCCCTTACAATCCTAGGAAGGAGGCAAAAGCAAAGTTAGTCCAGGTAGTCATCAAGATTCAAGACTGAAATGTGTGTGAATGCACACATTTCAAAATTGTCTTCAGAGATGCCAAAGCAATTTGACAAATTTTGAGAGCTCATACTATGTACAGATATAGCAAGCTGGCCAGTTTTAGAATGCCTAATGGGTTTCAGGCGAGGAATGAATATTTTCTTTACAGTCATTGACCGGAATTGCAAACAAAAACCCATTAAAAATTAAAGTCAAATAAAAGATAAAATATTATAATTGATGGTAGGTTCCTCAAGGGATAATCAATTCTGCCTAATTTTACAGGCAGTACTATATAACAAAATTTAGCTTTGTTCAAGGACACAGCCATACCAATCTGATAACAACTGCACATAAATAAAGATAAGAATTTCCTGGGTATTTTACCAGGTAAGATTATAAGGCAGGTCCTCAGCTCCTTCTAGAGCAGTGATAGTTAACCTTTTGGGTTGGGCATGTCAAAAATTCAGAAAATGCCTTAACTTGATTGTAGCATATCACAAACTCACCCCCCCCCCCCCAAACAAAAAGGAAATAATTCTTTACAGTGACACAATTTCAGAGACATTTTTGTGGGTCAGGGATGTTTACTTGGAATCTTTCAAGATTCGAAGAATTGGTGAGTTTTGTTAATGGAAATAATCCAAATAATTGTTAACATTTGCAACTATTGGTTGACAGTTTTTTTCATATAAACATCTGAATTAAACTTTTCTTCCTCAAGAAAGGACTTTTAAGAACTTTGTTGAACTCTGTTTGCATAATTTTTCTGGCCTTTCTTAATTACAGTGTTATATCATATTGTTATTGCGAAAGCAAAATAATGTACATATGTATGTGTATTCAATTTTTATATTAATATACTTGCCTGAGCATTGACAAAGCCTAAATTTAAATGGCCACACTAAGCAGAGACTTGTCTCCATGTGTCTAAAAGCATCTAACACAGCACCTTTTTCCTCAAAGCAAGTCGGCCTTAGCAGAGTCTTTGTATATTGCTGTGAAGGACAGTTAATTATTAACTGTAATAAAACTAATGCTGCTATGTTTCTAAAAAATCTGTAATTCACCGCTACTCTTGGACAATTAACATTTTAAGCATCAATCGGAGTCTTTAAATATTTGGTCATTTCCTTCTAAGCATCCATGAACTGAAACCATCAGTAAAGGAAGTCACTGCCAGGGTCCATAAACTTTCAGATGTAATTTCTCTTTTGTTTACTGCAATAGCAATAACCACATTCCAGCTGCTGCAAACATTTTGGAACCGCTTGTTCTACAGTGAACAGATTTGTTATCATTGTGATTTAAGCAGAATTTGCAGAACTAGAAATATGTTTAAGCTGTATCATGACATGGAACATATGAAGTTCATTTAGAGTTCAACCCTCTACGTGTTTTCTCAGAAGAATGCTGTGTTCAATAGCACTTATTCCAGGTAAATGGGTATAAATCAAGTACACAATTGCCATAAATGACACATAAAACAACAGAGGAAGCCCAAGAAGGAGCAGTGGCAGCATTTACTAGCCAAAGTAATATGATGCAAAGTGTGTACTAGAAAATACAATGCATATACCTAGACAGCTGTGTGAGGAATCCTATTCATGCTCACAAAAATAGTAATAGATTTAATTCTATAAATATCAATACTATAGTAACTTAATTTTCAAAGCCCTAAAACTTTATTTTTGATGCCACTTACAAATTCATTTGGCATTCAGTACATTTTAAAATATACTTGTTATCTAAGGGATACTCCAAGTTTGTGCAAAGCACAGAACAAATTTTCTTTACATTAACATTTTTAATCCCAGTTGCCATATCATATCTCCGATGACTAAGCAAGTAGCTATTGGACATTTATTGGTTTCGATCTCAACACTTGTCTGTGAATATGACTCTCACTCAGACTTCCTCCACTGAAGGAACAGATGTGTAGATTTTCATTCCTTCTGTCTTCTATATAGATACACAGACTTGCACGCACACTGCAAATTTTATACAAACATGTGGAAGCATTTTATCTGTTAGCAGAATTCCATTGACAGAATATTCCTAAGAAGAAGCATGAATTTGAATCTAAGCTCCTGTTATTATTTTATTTATATATTTATTAAATTTATTGGTCATTTATCTCCCTTCAAAATGACTCTAGGCAGTTTACCACATTATGTGGGGAAAAATACCCATCTGGTTCAGTTCCAAGCCAGGAGAAAGGCAACGGAGACAAAATGGAGGCTGGAGTTTGTGGTTCTGGTGCAGCTGACAAAATGGAGTTGAGAGTGGGTGGCTTTTATACCTTCTTTTTGGGCTTTGTATTTGAGCTTCCTGTTCATGTGCAAGAACATGTGTTCTATTGGCTGTTGTAGGGGTTATGTGGTGGTTCTGTAGGGGTTCTGGCTGGCTCCATAGGCAAAAGGGAAAATGCAAATCCTAGGTGTTTGTCTGAGTTCCCAGATTTGGTTGAAGTTTGCTGGGGGTGGTGCAACTGAAAGGTTGTTGGGCAATTCCTATTGTGGCTGAGGGCTAATCCTACCTTTGTTCAGACTTTGCCGCAGGGAGTTTCAAAATATCCTGTCTTGAATGGATTTCTGCCTATAGTATTTGCTTTGCCTATGAATAGAGCTATCTAGATACTTGGCTTCTTTCAATAAGCTCTTTATCTCTTAAGTGCTGACATCTGCTGTGGGCTACTAAGAAAAGTGGGGGTTGCTTTCTGCCTCTAAAAAAACATGTTTCTCCATTTCTCCCTTTGAGGAAACATAATATTCTGCCTTTTTAAAATATTCCTCAAAATATTTCATTCTTCTAGGAGGGAGTGGGTGCTGACTTTCTACACATAAAAGCAATAAAATTATAAAGAATAAATATTTCTAAAGCAATAAAAATAGCATTACCATCCAAAGAAAGTTTTAAAGCAGGAAAAATAATAAACAACACATCTGAAATTTTATTTTAGCTCTCCTCCCCTCCCACTTTTTGCAGTCATCCAATGAAGATGAATAGTCTGGGATCCAGGACAGATAAAAGGAAGCACTTCATACCACACATAGTTATACTATGGAGTTTCCTATCAGGTAATGGCCACTGATCCAAACACCTTAAAATTATATCTGATTCACTTCTGAGACAGGATGTTTCCTTAGGAACTCCTTCTGAATGATTCAGTAAAAGACAGCAGTCATTTATCAACTTTATGGATGACCGCTTCTTCAAGTGACATTAAATCTAACATATCTTTATCCCATCAAATGTTTAAAAATGTAAGTTCTGATTGGAACTCACATTTGACTAAACATTTAAAATCTTAACATTCCTGATTATTCTGAGCATCAGTAAATTGTACATAATTGGATTCAACCTCTTAAAGCTATTATTATTATCAGGAGCTATTTATAGCAGCAACATTTATTAAAATAGTAGGCAAATCACATTCTATCTACTGCATTTGCCTAGAAAGAATTAGTGCATTAAAAGCCACCACACCTGACATCTGTAGATATGATTGGTAACACACCGGCACTCACACCCACTTCTAGACAAATGACTGTCTTCCTGTGTGATGTCAGGAATACTTGGATCTGGCAACCCAGGTTAAAGGTTAAAGCTTCAATTACTTGTTTATGTTGCAATCATTACAATCTTGAAATTTAGATGGGGGACTGTTGAACGTCTGCCAGTTGAAAAATCTGGAAACTGAACAGTTGACCAAGTGCAATTTCTTCCAACACACCTGTAAATCGCAGCGATTATTTTTAAGGGGTTTAAGCTCAAGGCAAGTCTGCAAAAGACCCATTATTCTTTAATTCGGTCACATTTGTTGGACTATTACGGCTCGCAACCCTCTTCCCCACCCCATTTTTGTCTTAAATGCAGTTTCCGCCTTCGCCGATGCATAGGATCGGAGAAAACCGGAACGGAGTCTCCAGACCTTGTTTAGCATGGTGACATCACGCCACCAACACGCGCCCCCTCCCTTATTTTGCTTCCGCGTTCTTAAGAGACGGTCACGTGAGCACAGGTTCGGCCGGTTTTTCGACCGGTTTTCGGCCCTTCCATCTTTCCCTTCCGGAGAGAGAGAGAGAGAGAGAGAGAGCGATGGGCGCGGCCACGTGATCTTGTTTTGCTTCTGACAGGTCGGGTGTCCTCGTGCCGCGCGCCTCCCTCAGTTCCTGGCCGACAGAACGGGCGAATTCCCGAAGCCGTCAGGTGGCCGTAGGTAGAGGTAGGAATAGAGTGGAGGGAGGGTTTCCCGCCCCCCTCCCGGATTGAGAGTGCTGGGGTCCGCTTCGGGGCCGTTAGAACGAGAGCGCCCTCCGGTGGTGGGTGGTCCCCTGTGTGCCTGTCATAGCCGCTTTATTCTGAGGTTCCCCCGCCTTCTTCTGGAAAGAGGAAACGGGGAAGAGAATCTCTTAGTTTGAGTCTTTGAAAGGATGGGACCTCTACCTTAAAAATGTTCGTTTCCAAGTACTTCTCTCGAACATGAAGCAGACAAGATTTAAGTGTTAGGGACTTCAGGAAATGAGTCTGACGTTGTTGGAGGCTGTTTAAAACAAAAATCCAAATAGGCATTTATTTCCAGTGTGCCTGATCAATAGGAGACCTGCAGCGCCCATGTGTCCTTGGGGGAAAAAAGACCAGCCTGAAAAAAAAGGGCAAATCTGAAAGAGGTTTATAAGGAGAACAAAAAAAAAAATTAATTATGTTTAAAACTTTGTTTTTCAAAGGGCAATTCAAGAGCGAAACCAAGCAAAGAATTAAATTTAAAGGACGGCTTTCTAAAATAAAGAATAATGGATGTAAGGTCTCTATAAGTATGCAACGTAATCCACAAATTATGGTTTATTATTTTGGGTTTAGCTTTTTACCTTTATTCTGATTTAAAACTAGTGACAAAGCATTTTTTGTGAGGACCAATATTTTGGTAATGATAAATCGGCTTTCTTAGTACCCTGTTTCTCCAACAATACAGCCTCCCCCAATAGGAAGTCCCAGCATGTTTTATAGGCATGAAATGAAATTAAGCCCCTCCCCCCCCAAATTAAGGCCTATATTAAAACATGCGAAATGGGGGGGAATGGTGGGGGGAGCTTGCCGTAAGGAAGTACTTTTCTTGCACACCCTGATATGGTGCTGCCTGCGTTGACCCCGATACGAAGTGCCCCCCCCAACGCCGAGGTCAACATCCAAGCCATCATCGCCCGCCTGCCCGAAGATGCAAAGGGGGGGGGAATTAAGTCACCCCCGAAAAGACGGCCTAGCCATTTTTTCGGGGCTCAAAAAAAAATAAGACCCGGCCTTATTATATGAGAAACACGGTAGAATGTTCAATGGAGTGTAACTTAATCCAGAAATTACGAATCAGCTTGATTTTTGGTTCTCTTTATTTCAGGTAACTTTACATCACCAAATGGTTAAATTAATTTGCACTTTGGCAGACCACAAAGATGATGTCAACTATTGTGCCTTCTCTTCTTCCTATTTGGCTACGTGTTCCTTGGACAAAACAGTCCGTCTGTATTCGTTAAACAATTTTGGTGAGGTTTCTTACTCACCACTGAAAGGCCACACTTACGCTGTCCATTGCTGTTGCTTCTCTACTTCGGGACACATTTTGGCTTCATGTTCTACAGATGGCAACACAATTTTGTGGAATACTCAAGATGGGTTGAAAATGGCAGTGTTGGAGCATCCCTGTAGAAACCCTCTAAGAATTTGTCGATTTTCCCCTGATTCTACATATTTAGTTTCAGGAGCAGCTGATGGAAGTATAAATGTGTGGAATGTTCAGACGCTAAAATTGTATCGGTGAGTATATCAAAGCTGAGGCTGTTAGAAATTGTAGAATTAAGTCTAGCTTTATTTGTATCTCATGCTTAATATAATCTAAGAAGTTGCATTCCCATTTCTACTCCAATAGCTGTCTTAGCCAGGGGTGTGATTCTACCGGTTTGGCCTGGTTCTATAGAACTGGTAGCTCTGAAGAGCAGCTGACACCAAACCGTTCTCTCCGAAGATCTTCTTTTCTTCGGTTGGGCCCACCTGCCTGCTCAGGCTCTAGGCTGTCCTTAGTTGCTTTGCGCAGCACCGCTGAGTGCCGTACATCAGCAGGAGATGGTGATTGCTTGCAGGAGAAGTTGTTTTGCAAGTATTGCACAGGTGCGCACAGCGTGCACTCACCGAACTGGTTGTTATGCCGATAGGATCCCACCCCAGGTCTTAGCCCTGTGAACTAGACCTCAAGGGAGTTTTAGGTCCAATAAGTGTTGATGGTACCACTTGGGAATGGCTGATCAGGCTGTCTCATTTAATGATAAAGTTAGGATTGCTTCTGTGGAAGTCAGGGCAAACTTGTTCCTTGGACTTCAATGGATTGAAGAGAATTCTTGAAATTCAAGTATTTGTTTCTGTTTTTTTTAAAAAATGGCATGTCGTTCTGTACAGTATCCTGTTTAAAACCACTCTATTAAGTATGAAACAATGCAGTTTTATGGCTGCATAATTATTATTTTAGGCATAAAATATTTCAATAAGAATGATTAATTTTTTTGTGTTGCATTCATGTGAATCAGTCAACTGACTGGATATAGTGCTAAACTGTGGCTCTAGCCCTCTTTTCCTTTGGTGCAACTGCAATATCCTGTATTTTTTGTTTCCATGAAATTAATTTACCTATTATGTGAATCCTGGCATATCTTAGAATAAACCAATTACAAATTAAGTTAATGATTCTTGCTTACTTTAAATAATTATAATTAAGATTTAACATAATTTAGAATTTACACATAATACAAAATGGAGCAAAAAAAGGAGCATAAGTAGTTTCCTAAATTTCAACGAGGCCTTTTAAATATAGCCCTGGCCTTGACAAGGGATTCACAATGTCTTGATATTTTATAATTACACAAATTAAAATGTTGCAATATATTTGTAGCTTAGATAATTGCTCTGTTTGTTACATCAAAGATTAGTTTGAAATATTCTTATAGATTTAATTTGTTTCCCCCCCCAAACATGTAACAGGGTTTTAACTACCAAATTAATTTGTTCTTGCTTTTTAGATCTGGTAATGTTAAAGATGGATCATTGGTAGCTTGTGCATTTGCTCCTAATGGACGCTTCTTTGTGACGGGATCATCCTGTGGAGATCTAACTTTCTGGGATGACAAAATGAAGTACTTATATAATGAGAAAGCTCATGACCTTGGTGTTACCTGCTGTGACTTTTCTTCAAGGCCACATTCTGGTGAGATAATTTACTGCTGAAATACATCTTTTTAAAAATATCTTGTCGGTTCCAGCCTTAACTTTTATTTGTATTCTTGTCCTTAGTAACTATAATTGATGAATATAAATTCCTTTTGAAGTTTCTCTTTAATTTAATTCCAATGTAATGGATCTAAAACCACTTTTTTCCCCTTAAGTAATATTTCCTGTCTAGTGATCTGTCTCTTTTGCAGTATGTATGGCATATAAGACTGTGATCTTAAAGATATTTACTGGGGGTAAGCCCTATTGATCACAGTAGGAGTTAATTCTTAGTAGATATGCAGAGGATTGTATTGTGTAAAAAGTTTATCATATTCTACTTTCACTTAAAGAATTGTGCTTGAAGTAGAAAAGAATTTTGGCTGCAATTAAAATCATGCGAAATTATTTATTATTTTTATTTGATTTTATCTCATTGTTTTACTTGTTGTAATTCGAGGCAACAATCATACATAATGCTGCTTTGCTTTCACTGAACACACTTTAAAAGGACAATAACTTTAACCTCTTCATATGAAAGATGTTGTCAAATTCAAAGCAATTAATTTCATTTTTTTATTTTTTCCTAATAAACGTGGTTTTGGAATTGCTAATTGGCTTCTAATTGAATATTCTATGCTCAGTTCAGCTAGTGTTATGATTTCAAATTCCAGTATCCTAGGAAAAATGTCAACATCCATATATCAAATTAAGCCCTTCTAAAATATATACAATATTTTTAAGTTATTGTTAAAATTAGAATGAAAGATGTCCATTTATCCTTGTCTATTTGGGATTCCTTAAGTTATACTAAACGTGTATGAATTGGAGGGGTTACATAGAACAATTGTTATGTTATGGAAAAAATCTTTCCATTCTAGCATATTTTTATTGCTTCCGTGCTGCTGCTAAATTCAAGAACCGTCTGATTTATAACACAAAACAAACTAGATATAGCTAGTCTTCAACTTTCCACCATTTGTTTAGCCCCCGCTTGAAGTTACAGTAGCAGAGAAAAAAGTGATTTATAATCAGTCCTCGCACTGACAACTGTCCCCATAGTCATGTGATCAAAATTTGGGCGCTTAGCAACTGACATGTATTTATGACGGTTACATCATCCCGGAGTCATGATTGCCATTTGAGGCTTTCCCAGCTGGCTTCTGACATGCAAAATCAACGGGGGAAACTGAATGTGGTTAATGATCACATGATTCACTTAACAATTCTGGTTACTCACTTAACAAATGTGGCAAGAAAAAGTAATAAACTCGCCATTCCTTATTTATTTACCGCTTTGCTTAGCAACAGAAATTTTGGTCACAATTCTGGTCATAAGACAAGGACTACATTTAGTCCACCAGATTTTTGAGTTATGCGCAGCAAACTTCTAATTGTGCTTAGTTTACTAGAAGAGGATATTGAAAAAAATAGAAAACCTTATTTTGTTATGTTTCTCATGCATTTCTCATGCATTTCTGAATATATATCTATTTTATCAGATAAGCAAGATGCTGATTATTTCAGAATGGCATCTTCTGGTCAGGATGGCATAAGTAAGATCTGGCTCATTTCATCTTCTGATTCTACAGGTATCTTGAATTTAAAAATGCTTATTCTTTAAAAAAAATTACTTGCCTTTCCACTGCTTGGATTTTTAATTAGGTCTTGTTCAAACAATAAACAAACCCATAAGACAAAAAAAGTATCTTACTGAACAACTGAATAATCCTTTTTGACAATTGTATAAAAAATAAAGAAAATAATTGATGATACAGTAAAGTAACATATTACGATAAAGCAATAAAAACAATAACAACAGAGAGAGTAAAGAAAGTAATCATTCTTAAGAGAGTGTGAAGCTTTTTCATATGTAATTATTCTTCATAATTTTGATTGATATTAGAATGAGGGTTAAAAGTTATATTTTTCATTCATTAATATGAATATGAATTCATTAACATGCATTCATTAATAATACCCAGTGATGTATGGCTCTGTCAGATCAAAATATTCCCTATTTTGGCTCCAGAATTGACTCTAAAGAGCTTCCAAAGCACATTTGGGGGTGGGGGGTGGAGGGGATGATCAGAAAATTTTGTTATGAAAATAGCATTTTTAAAAAAGCCTTCCTTTCTATCCTACTCTCCTTGCTTTCATGGAATACAGAACTAGAAAATTAAAGAGCAGCCAGATTTACAACACAAAATACAACCTAGATACTGCATTGTGCAGTATATTTTACTTTCTATTCAAAGGCGACAAGGTTGTAATTTGATAAAAAATATTTCCATTAAATGTTTGTTCACCTTTCAATGTTTAGGATTTGACCTGAGATGTAGATGTACTTTAAGTGGACATACTGCCCCCGTTCTGGCTTGTGCTTTTTCCTCCAATGGGCAGGTTTTAGTTACTGGGTAAGAATCTTTGTTTAATGTATATGTTTTACTTCTGCAGTTGGTTTGCTCAGTTGGTTCTTAGTTTTTCCCAGTTCTGTGTTTTATAAAGATAGACCTTTATTTACCGTTAAGCAGATGTCTGATTTTTCAACCTTTTTTGCAGCAGTCATTAAGTGAGTCACCACAACTAAATGAGCACAGCAGCCATTAAGTGAATCCATTGTCTGCAATAGGCAGTTTTCCTGAAGAAAATGCTGGGGGGTTTGGGGGTGGAGGGACATCGAAAATTGCACCCAAAATGTAATCACAATGGGGGCTGTTGGAATTTTAGGTTGTAAGTAGGGGTCCATAATAACTTCAAATGTTCACTAAGCGACTGGTCATAAATCGATGACTACCTGTACACAGAATACAAATCAAAGCCAACAAGCAAAATCATTTAAGAAGTATATATTACTTCTTATAGAAGAGATAATTCTTAATTATTGGATTCTCAGCTTTTAAAATGTTCAACATATTATTTTGATGGTTCTAATTCTTCTGGATTTCTTTTCATTCCCTTTGAGTTGCAAAGGAGGTTATTGGAAAGTTAACTATTCATAATAATCACTGCACTCTAGTACTGAGCTTTTTGCTCACTGTTTGCTGTTCATATTATTCTGATTCTTGTATGATTGAAACCTTTTTTTAACTAATCAAGGATGAGTACTGATGCAGTTATGATATATCATCTTTTTTTCTTGTTAGGTCTGTGGACAAAACTGTAATGATTTTTGAAACTGTAAGTATTTAAGTATTTAAGAGGGCAAGCCCTCGTTATACAGGGATAACAATATATTAACATTCTGTTAGTAGGCATTGCAAAAATTGCTTATTTGGTAACTCTTATTTTTATTTTATTCTATTTTAAATTGTAAAAAGTTCAGCAAAAGTTTTCTATACTTGTAAGCCTAGTCATAAGTACCCCACACTTTTATAGGAGTTGGGCAACTAAACCTTCCTATAATAAGTATCCAAACTCATATTGTTTAATTCATGTTTTTTAAGTAGCATACAAACTGAACTTTATGAATCAATATTGTTCCTGATTTTTCAGGTGTAGATTTTATCTGCCCCCATTACATTGTCATTTACATTTCTTTCTACGGTGAATAAGTCCTGGTTTCAGGTTTTTATGTCTGAAAGAAAAGAAAAAAAATGCAGTTTTAAGCCCTCTGATCAATTTCATGTTTTGGGTTTTCTTAATCATTGTACTATGTCTTGTCCCAGCAATCCATCAGAAAATATAGATCAGAGTTACAGAAATTAAATATCTCCCACTATCATTATTTTCATTGCCAGTCACTTGTCTTCTGTATTTTTCCTTTCCTTTCTGATCCTCTTCTGTGGACTGGAAGGATGGAATTATATGAACTTAGCTTCTTGAGTAAGTTCATAGAAACATAAAACAGCAGAGAAATTTGGTAATTAAAAAAAATAGATAAATACTTTCTGAGAGTTGAAAGTTGCCATAAGGAACTTGACTCCTATCATTTACAAATGCCAAACTAGTGTGTATCACGATAAGCTATGTAGGCCAGGTATTTGCTTTAGCCTTTTTTTCCCTTTGAATCTATTATTCCACAGAATTATTTGTAAAAAAATATTTAGAATATTTTTATGTCACTTGTTCGCATTACAGTTCCAAGTAGTTTACAGGGTGTAGAGAAAAAGTTTCCCTTCTTGACAACCAGAAAATGTTCTACTTCATTAAAAATTATATCTTTAATTAAAAATGAAATAAGAAGATGGATTATATCCAAGATCAACTATCTGGCAGCGGATAAATTTCATCAGCCATTTACCAAAATTGATTTAGGGGGCTGCAACTTTCTAATGCAGATGGGGAAAAAAATTTGGGGAGAGGAGACAAAGGCATTTTTAATATCCAATGTACTGTTAATGTGGAAAAGATTGCAGTCTCAACTGAAACATGACTCTGATATTTTTTCTCCATGTACTTTTTGGTCACTTAGAGGAATATATCTATCTTTAAATGGTACAGAAGTTTTACTCACTGTTAGTCCAAATGTCTTTGAAAGTTAAAAATAGAAAATGGGGATTTGATATACACAATAGCAGGGTAGATTCTTTGGCTTTGTAGAAACAAGCAGATAGCAAGTTCTATAAGCAGTTATGTGATAGTGAATATACAATGAAATATTGTACAGTACACAACTGCTTATACAACTTGCTATCTGCCCATCACTGGTCTTTACAAAGCCAAAGAATCTGCCTTGCTATTTGGTATATCAAATGATGATGTGCTTGCTATCTGTTTGTAAGTTTTTATTGCAAGCTTGTTTTTTATACAATCATGGGGAATTTTAATAGTTAATTTTGGAATATTTCTCTAGTATTTTTGAGGTTAATTTGAGTACTGTATGTATAATACTTCAATGTCTTACTTTAGATAAATGTTAGAAAAAATTATGAATTGCAAAAATAATAAGAAAGACTTTTATGGTACCTTAGGAATGAGCAAAATTATTATTGGAAACTATAAACTGACACTAGTGCTTTAAAAAATAGCTTTTTCAATGGAAGAACAATGTTTGTGAAGGGTAGCATCTCTTGGTGAAGAAGCTAACTACAGGATTTGTTATCCACTTAACTTGGGTGGCAGCATAATGAATTCTAGTCACATTTATGTTACTTTTTAATATTTTTGAAGAATGTAGTAATCCATAATCCTAAATAATCTTCAAAAATATATATAAACATTGGGTAGTGGTTTTTTCAAAAATATTCTGTAAGAATGTCCCAAAAGTGCTTTTTCAGGAGGCAACTGGACTTTCTGGTTTTTTTTTCTTTCCCTTCTCATCCAAGAAGCTTCTTCAGCTCTGACTGGATGGTGGGGAATGGAAGGATTTATATTCCTTGCAGACAGCTGGTCATTTGCATCCTTTTAGAAGGTCTCTGAAGCACCTGGAGGTTTATCTGTCCCCTCAGGGTCACCTGAGTAGTGCTCCTGGTTCCTGTAGTCTGCAGTTCTTTCCTCTGGAAATCCATTTTTACTCCCACACCATTCAAAGGGTGTTCATCCCAAACTGTATAGCTAAAAGTTTGTCGAGATTCTCAGTCATCCAGGTCCTGGTTGTTCCAAAGGGGCTTTTTCAGGAGGCAACTGGACTTTTGTTTTTTCCTTTTGAAGACATTTCACTTCTTATCCACAAAGCTTCTTCAGCTCTGGCAGGATAGTGGGGAATGGAAGAAATTATACTCCTTGCAGACAGATGGTCATTTGCTTCCTTTTAGGACATTCTGCAAGAATATTTTTCCTGTAAGCCCAGTTGAGTAAGGGATACCTTTTTCTCTATGTTTGATAATGATCTACTGCAATTTTTAATAGATTCAGTTTCCTGTATTATAGATCTCTCTAAATGTATTATGTACATCTGTACTCTTTGGATATAAGAATGGTGTGTAAAGTTAGTTGTAAATTCCCTTATTTTTTATTTGTTTGTTTGGTTTGGACAGAACACTGGGAGCAACCTGCACATTTTGACTCAGCATACCAGGTAGGCCATTGGCATGTATTAGTATATTGCTATTTATTATTATTATTATTATTATTATTATTATTATTATTATTATTATTATTATTATTATTATTATTATTATTATTAAATCAAGGATAGCATTTGAAATGTAACATATATTTATCAAATAACGTGTTATTTCTAGATATGTTACAACTTGTGCCTTTGCACCAGATATGCCATTATTTGCTACCGGTTCAATGGATAAATGTGTCCACATCTGGGAACTGGAATCAGAACAACTTTTCACAGGTCAGTACTAAAACGTTTTTTTCTCCTGCCTTATAAACATTATATCAATTTGTTTTACATCCTTACCACCCAAGTTTAAGCCCACATACTTTTATATGTAAAATACTTTCTTGGTTGCCTTTTGTCTCAAGTAAGACTCCAAATAGAAGCCTTATCTAATCCCAAGCCTCAATGAGAAATAATCAATTTGCTTCCAAGAAAAATTCCTATTCCATAATTTTTGAAAGATACAGTTGGAAATCCAGTTGTACTTTTGGATTAAATTGGCCCTCCATTTTTATCCAACCAGCTTAAATCACACATGTCAGTTCATAATATTAATCCAGGATTAAATCATGTTATTATATACTTTTCAATGAATATTAGTTTGTTGTACTAGTGGCCAAATCAAGCAACCCAATCAACTATGCAATTATTGTAGCCAACTATCTGAAATAGGCTGAGGCTAGCACCTCACCTGCTCCAACCAATTAATTCCCCCACAAAATATTCTTACTGCTCTACCAATTTCTTATTACTTTTAGTATATAGGCATATCTAAAAGGATTGACACTCATTTGTACTTAAAGAAATTACCCAAGAAAGAACTTGTGTCTGTTTCCTCAATAGAAGCAACAATCAATTTTTGTATCACCCTAGATGATTCTATCTTTACTTATAATCAAAGGCAAGTTATTCTGTTCATCTGAATGTATTGTTTTTCAGGCTGGCAATTCAGCTTAGTCATTCTTGTCTCTGGCCTCAAAGAGGTCTCGAGCAAGAGTTTTCTGTCCTATTAAAATTCAAGGAAAGACACATTTTAATTGTATAATTTTGAACTTTGTACATCAGACTTTTTGATTGTTACTTGGTCTTTTACAAAAACTTTAAAATATCACATAATGAAAGCAGTAAGGCAGTGCATTAACTATAGCAATAGCACTTAGACTTATATCCGCTTTACAGTGCTTTACAGCCCTCTCTAAGTGGTTTATAGAGTCAGCCTATTGCCCCCAACAATCTGGATCCTCATTTTACCTACCTTGGAAGGATGGAAAGCTGAGTCAAGCCTGAGCCTGGTGAGATTTGAACTGCCAAATTGCAGGCAGCCGGCAGTACTGCACTCTAACCACTGTGTCACTGCAGATCCTATAGACTGTCCCTCTCCATTAGTTGAGAAAATGGGATCCTCCAGAAGCTGTACATTGGAAGAAGAGGATAGGGTGACTCATCAATTCACTCTTTCCTTGCTACCCATGGCTTTGTGAATTGTAACGCTGTTCTCAAGTATCTCTCAGCCTTCCAAAAGTACTTTTTTTGGAAACACAGATGGAAAAATTAATCAGGTTAAAAAAAGTAAAAAAAATTAACAGCACAAGGAAATATATGTTGAACATATGTCGGGATCAATACATTAAAAGAAAATAATAAAGAAATATATGTCTTCTAATTATATAGCATATCAAAAAGATTTATGTTACATTGCATTTGCTAAAATCTGATGTAAAAAAGAGGATAAATGTTATATTTGTGCCACCCTTTATACTTGGAGCAATGTTTTAATTATTTCTTTTAATTTGTGTTATTTAGCTATGTGAGTTCATTTTAATCTTTTCTCAGGAAGTCCTCTGATACGGGAATCAAAGATTTCTATTGATAACTGGACAGAAGATGATGTTTCCATTTGGCTTCAAACACATAACTTGCAAGACCTAGTTGAGATTTTTAAAAGAAACAATATTGATGGTAAAGAATTGTTAAATCTTACAAAAGAGAGCTTGACTGATGATTTAAAAATAGGTAAGACCATTGAATGAAATATTTTACATATTATTTAAGCTGAAAATTCTGAACATAATTTATGCAAAACAGCATAGCTATTAGTAACATTAATGGTTTTAGGAATGTTTGCATTTGTCTTACATAGAACAATATGAACATTTAGAAAAATAACAAGTCCAGGTTGTCAAAATATTCCATTCTCATGTGAACCTATGATGTATTTATCAACTGATTGCCATTTAATAAATAATTTTATATAGTTTTTTTGGCATAGAATCCAAGCAACAGGTTTTAGGCCTAAATACTTGATTTCGTAAGCAAGTTATAGAACTTCAGTGCCTTTTTGTATAAAATATACAGATTATTTGACTCTTATAATCAAATACATTCTATTCCTTGATTTTACCCCTTGTCAGATTCTTTTTTTTATTGAAATAATCATACAGGTAATCAAACAATGATTTGATCATACAAACAAGTGAGAATGAGGATTGTATAACAGACTTGGCTTTAACAAGAAATAACATGTTTTAATAGAATTGGTTTACGAATCAAATACATTTGAAAATGAATGATCTTCCTTTTTGTTAGTCTTTTATTCATGTTTACTATTCGTTGTACTACTAGTGAGAACCACAAAGCCATTTCACCAAATGATCTTTCTAAGATTTAAAAATAATTGTTAGTTTCTATAAATAAATATATGATATATATATGTGTGTGTATGTGTATATGTATATTTGAACATTATCTGTGAGTTTCATACACATAGAAATCACAGATAATTTTCATAATTGTTCCCTTTTGTTCCATGAATTTTGTTGAATATTCAAGGGTGCTGAAGTTGCCAAAGCTTATCAGTTGAGACTAATTAGATAATGCTGATGATAGGCTTATATAAAAATTGAAATCAGTGGGATTGAAGATAGGCTGATCTCTCCCACAAGTGCACCAGCACTCTGTGGAAATATCAACATAATACGTCAGTGTATAGGGACTTTTAATGACACCCCTAAGAATTAATTACTAGTTACAAACAGGAAAATAAGAAGAAACTTGGCAGAGTTGATCATAATGAGATCTGTAATAAAAGGTAGATAAACAAAATGTAAAATACATTAGTTAGCAGAATTTGCTGATCTCCATAATTCTGATAAAGCTAACTGAATAGGAAGAAGGCAGGTGTACCTGCAGGTGTGTGTCATTCCTTCATTTTTTACCGCACAATATTTCTCAGCCTATAATCGTATATAAATTTGTCTTCCTGATGTTTAACTCGGACTATGACTGCGATTGAAAACAGTTGTGCATGCTCTCTTCATCATGATCACTGTAGAACAGAACTGTTGTTAACTTATTTACTGAGTTTTTCTAATTCCAAAACTTGAATTGTACAGTACTGAAACCTGAAATGCACTTTATTATCATTAAACAACAGGAGATTAAACATTATTCTATATAACTTAGAGCAGGGATGTCAAACTCGCGGCCCACGGGCCACCCCCCAGCCCCTTTTTAGTGAAAGGGGGAAAGCCGCACTATGTCACACAACAACAATGTGACGTCATGAGTTTGACTCCCCTGACTTAGAGCATCTTTGACTTTTATTGTTTTATCAACATACAAATTACAAAGAAAAATAAAAATAGGAAATTAAGGGAATGAAAAGAGGGGGAAAGAAAATATGAGATGCAAAGGAAGAAAGAAAAAAGTGTTGACTCACAACTTTTTTTAGCACAGTATTTATTATTCTATATAACTTTACCTAATAATATTACATTCTGTTTCAACATTTCATGTCAATGTTATGTAGAGATAGATTAATTTGAAAACAAGAAAAAATTCTTATTCTTGAAAAATCCTCATTTCCAAATTTGAAATAAATTTACATTGTTTTTTATAAAAATGGAGTCCAGGGCAGCTTAAAAAGCTCTTGATTCTTCAGATAAAGATGATACTTGTAATATTTATTACAGTCATTGACTAGAATTCAATAAGTGAGCAGCAGATGAAACAACATAAAACAGTATTATTTACTACAGGATTACTGATGCAATGTAAATGTATCTGGTTTTTTTCAAACAGCATAACAAAACATGGCCATTTAGAGATACTGTTTGGCCACGTCAAGCCATACATGTTCATGCTTGTTTTCTTGACTATAATTTTTTTCTGTTTATAATGTCTTTCTGTCACTTGAACTAAACGTAAGTAGGCAAAAAAGAACGTATTTTTTTCATTTTATATTGTCCCTATTACAGGTAGCTTTACATAAAACCATTGTTTGAAGTGTTCTCTCTGCAAATTTAAAAGAGAGACATGATTTTAGCTTGTAATATTTAGGAGAATTACATCAAAAAGAAAATCATTTTACATAATTTGTTAACTGTAGGTTGCCTTGTATTATTTTCCAGTTAGATCTAATCACTGAAGTCTCTAATATGACTTTTCCAGAATCTCTAGGTCTTCGCAGTAAAGTTTTGCGTAACATTGAGGAGCTCAGGAATGAGATGAAAGCTGCTTCTCTAGATATTCCTGATGAATTCCTGTGTCCCATAACCAAAGAACTTATGAAAGAGCCAGTGATTGCTGCAGGTAAGCATTCTGAAGATGGCTTAGTTTCATTTATTGTTTTGGTAGAGATTTAGTAATGAAGAGTATGTGTTTATAAAGCAAGTTCTGTATATTCTTTTTCTATCAATCAAAGGCGCAAGAAAACATTTTTAGTTTTAATTATCACCATGTTGATTACATTCGCAGAAACCAATAGAAATGAACCATAGTATAATCATGATACAGTGAAAGTCTATTAGACAATTTGATATACTATATTATATATGATGGAGGATGTGTCCAATAGGTGGCTTTTCTGTGTTCTCATTTGATATGTCCATAATTAGCTGACCAATACTGCATAATGTCCACATTTGTCTTTTCCGAGATGCATGAAGGAGAATCTCATTAAATCTGAAGCAAAATTATGCGAAGCCAAAAACTGGAGCTTTTCTCATACCTGATTATTATCAGTTTTTAGATTTAAAAATACTCTTTGTTCTTTTTAAATGTTGAATTATACAACTTATAACCACAATGGAGCCCAACATTTATGTTAGTCAGTAAGAAATTTGTTAAGTGAGTTTTGCTCCATTTGTCGACTTTTCTTGCCACATTTGTTAAATGATTCACTACAGTTGTTTAATTAGTAACACAGTTGTTAAGTGAACCTGGCTTCCCCATTGACTTTACTTGTCAGAAAGTTGCAACGGGATCACATGACCCCAGAAAACTGCAACCGTCATAAATGTGAGTCAGTCGTCAAGCATCCAGATGTAAATTATGTGACCATGGGGATGCTGTAATGATTGTAAGTGTGAAAAACGATCATAAGTCACTTTTTTCAATGCCATTGTAACTGAATGGTCACTAAGCAAAATGTTGTAAGTCGAGGACTATCTGTATTTTAAATTGACCATTTTGAAAATTCAGGGAGGATTTAATGTTCTCAAATTGATTTCAGTGCCTTTTAATCCCTTATCTGGCCAGCATAATTCAGAGCCTCAGAGACCAATCTATTTGTGGTGGTGTTGAAAATTTCCTGGTTTTAAGAGGTTGTTTGCAAGCTTGCAGTAGAAGTAGTACCACAACTCATGGCAGGGACAGCCAAAGGTTCCCCTTGAATGTTGGCCTTTGCAGTCTGGCTAGAACTCTTGCTTGGTCCCCAAATTTATAAACATTCTTTAAAGTGTTTTTTTTTTAAAGCCTGGATGCTTGGTTTTCACATTTGAGTATGTCATCAAGCCTCAAACCTCCTATTTCAAGGGGGTTTGGATGCGTTTGACTGTTTCATTTAAAATTAAGTCCTTCTTCCCTTCCGTCCTTTTTTCTTTTCCTTTCTTTTTTTCTTTCTTCCAACCCATCTCAGTCAGTGTCTTTGGAAGGCTTACGGTTCAAAAAATATACTTCAATCAAAATAGTAAAGCATTTTAAAATAATAAAACCAATAGGAACAATAATCATAGAATACACCGACACTTCAGACTTACTGTATATACTCGAGTATAAGCCTAGTTTTTCAGCCCATTTTTTGTGCTGAAAAAATCCCCCTCGGCTTATACTCAAGTCAGATTCCCCTCTGAAAAAAAAAATGGTGTGGAGTCGCGGCCTCCGGCGGCAGCGACTCCCAACAGCCCCAGCCGGGCAGGGAAAGGCAAAAAGCGCTTTGCCTTTCCCTTCCCGAGGCGGCGGGACTGGGGCCGCGCCGGCGGTAGTGACTCCTGACTCAGGGGGCCTCCGAGGGAGGGGAAGAGAGTGACTCCTGCCTCCCGCTGTCATCATCATCTTCTTCTTTTGGGTTAGTGAATCAATTAAACCTTTCATGATAGTGAGTTCGTTTCCCAAATTAATTATTTTTATTTTTGAAATTTACCAGTAGCTGCTGCATTTCCCACCCTCGGCTTATACTCGAGTCAATAAGTTTTCCCAGTTTTTTTGTGTAAAATTAGGTGCCTCGGCTTATATTCGGGTCGACTTATACTCGAGTATATACGGTAATAGAATTGCATATAATCTGTGGACATATGATTGTCAATTGAACAGTGATAGGTTTGAATAATGGGTGGAGGTTGCTTTAATCATGTAAACAATCTGTCAACCTAGCTTCTTTAAAGCAGCATCCCTCTGGCAAAGGTTCATGGAATGGCTATCATTCTGTTCAGTTCTCCATTATGTATAAAGTTTGTAAAAACATAGAGCTCACGAGAACATAGGAACGTAGTAGGCATTTTGTAAGGGAACTTACAAATTACAAAGGTGAACTGAGGTAGAAGAGGGGCATTTGGCTGATTTTGTGGCATGGTGTGGATTCTTGGCCCGGGGGTAGATTGCTTGTTTGCTGAGCACGTAGTCCGAATTTACAGATGTAGCTGACTCAGTAATCAAGTGACTGCTAGTGGCTGGAACTGCATTTGTCAGCAAGTGGCTACCCCTCAGGCATCATTCCTAGGAAGAGATCAGGCAACAAGGAGTTTGTGACTAGAGTGAGTTAGCCAGCCAGCAACAGCAGCCAATGAACTTTGCTGGGGAAGAACAAGGCAAACTGAGATCTGACAGGGAAAATGAGGAATATTCTGTGATTATCTGCCAGGAATGCACTGTTTATACTAGAGTGGTATCTTAATTGTGCCTATTGCAAATGGAAACTTGTCTTTTTAATGAAGCACAAGGTAAAAGAATTGGAGGACATCTTCTCTTAAGACACATCAGGGAAGTAAAGTCCAGGATTGCTCAGAGCTTTTCATGAAACAGCTGATTTCCAAGGAGGGGAAGGCACAGAATGTTTGGGACCAGGATAGATAAGAAGAGGGCCACAAAGAGGAATGCTGGAGTGAGTACTTGGTGATATCTAGCAAAAAAACAGTGGGCAAACTAGGAATAGGTTTGTCCTCTGGAGCCAGCAGCCAATTTGAACATGTGAAAATGAAAAGCTAGCTACAATTCCTGAGATAATTCAGTTACCCCAGGCTTTCCAAAATAATTGAAAGGACTCTCAACACTGCGTGGATCAACAAAACCAAAAGCTTTTCACTGAGAAACAAAAAAATAGTGTTGGTGTTGATGAAAGGATCACCCTTGCAAGGGTCAGAAGCAGATGTGTGTGGACCAGGCTAGTTATTGTGAGAAGAGTGATGTCTTCTTGGTGCACATATTTAGGACTTCATGGAAACATTACTGTGGCTCATGCATTCATTCTGGTCACTAGCCATTCCTTCTTATGCATAAGGGAACAAATAAAGAAAAGTATAAAAGTGATGTGAGGGGTTATATCAGATAACCAGTCTACTTGCCAAAATGATAATGGGAGTTTTCAATTATCCTAATTTCTACTTGGAATTTTACTCTGCCCAAAGTCAGAAATTTAACAAATTTCTGTCCTCTCTTGCTGATAACCTCATTTGTCTGAAGGTGGAAAGCCACAAGACGATCTGCTGTCCTGGACTTGCCTGCTGAAGGCTTGCATGCCATTTACACATTGTAATGCACGTAACTGGAAAAATGCATCAGATTTGAAATTAAGTTGGATTGCCTCCTATAAGTACACATTTTGATTGTCAGCAGACACAGAGTCGAACTATATTTTGCTTTGTTGACAGAATGAAGCCTTTGACATTCAACCAGATCATTCTTGGGGGATTAATGATCTGGACAAAGCAAAATCCGGATCATTGCAGTTGATTTGTCTTTTGGCCCAGACAAATACACTGAACTGTTAAAGGAGCTGACTTTATTTCTCTCATAGTTCTCTTCCTCTTGTTGCTCTGCACCTACTCAGTGGGCCTGCCCTGCCTTTCCAGCACCATGAGCCTTCTCACCTACTACTCTTGCTTTAAAAATGATTTCTATCGGTGCTTGATATTAAAACAGGATGCTTCATAATTCCTCAGAATATTTGAATAAGTTTCTAAGGATTTAATTTTAGAAATTTGAGAATGATTAATGAATTCTCAGTTTTACAAGTTAAGCATTGCTTTTTTAGCTATTTTATTTTACCCACTGCAGCCTTTGATACCATGCCAAGCTTTATTTTTAAAGGCCCTATGATCTTCAGTAATTAGTTTTGGAAGAACAAAGAACCCAAAATGGGTTGGGAAGTTAAGTTATTTCTGATGAAGTGGGAATTAGGAAGATGTGAACCTCCATATTGGTATCTTCCCATTCTATTAAATCAGCAGGTAAGGTATGCTCCAGGTCCCATCTGCAATGGCGTGCCATCTGGCGTGCCTACAAAGACTTCATCCTGAAGTTTTCTGGCTTTTCACAGGGCCTTAATGATCTGGTTTTGCCATCAAGCCAGGACTCCTGGTAATATAGGGTGAGGCCAGTTCCTGGTTGTATCAATTGTGGGATGCAGTGAAAGTCTTCTGCTGCTATTTTATGCAATTTATAATTTTGGTTATTGATTTTACTCATTTTTAATTGTTAGCTGCCCAGAGTCATGTGTATTGGATTGGTGGCCATATGAAGTTATAACAAATACAAATCTTCCTGAAAAATAACTATTGTAGCTAAGCACAACGGAAATGGAGACCCCAAATTTGAAAGCCCACATTCTTGATGGAAAGCTATATCTGAATGCAGCATGTGCTAAATTATTTCTTTCTTATTTCAAAAGGAAGGTGAGGGAAAGTAGATTACAAATTTCTAAATTCTTTGGAAAGTCTATGGGACTTAAGTAGGCAACATTCCCTACAAAAATTGGCAGTACGTTTATATGCTATTTCTTTTTCTTAGCAGAACTGAATATCGCCCAGTAACGTCACAATTTTGTGCTTCTGTTTTATACATGAAAAGCTTAGGACACAAGGGACTCTGTGTAGCAGTTTTGATGATTCCTTTGACAGCTTTGTGATGAGTTTTTGGAAATTAATTTTAAACTCCAGGATTAAAGTAACAGACTCGGCATACTGAGAATTCTAGCTCACTTATAGCAAACTAGTGAGAGAGTGAGATCCATCAGTAGAAAATGTTTAGTGACACATTTTTATGCCATCTTTTTAATTTCATGAAAATCAGTTATTTCCAGATGAGAAAATATTCATATTGTCTGATGGATGACTGTATGGTATGAGGTTCAGATATATTTGATTGGAATACAGTATTTTAATTCTTGCGCTTTAATTCTTGCAGGGGGGAGGAGGGGGAAGAGGGGATATTTTTGTACTCGCGGGGCTGCAAATGTCAGTGCCTGCTGCTCGCGTGAGTGGGGCTATGAGTGCCTGCATCTGGCTCTTACAAAGTGGGGCTGCGAGCATCAGTGCTCGCTGCTCGCATGAGTGGAGTAGTGCACATGTGCGCTCACTTGCCACTGGCACATCTTAGTTCCTAATGGGCCACAGCCCGGTAGTAGGCCGCACCCCAGGGGTTGGGGAACCCTGTTCTAAAGCATTAACACAAAGAGAAATTGAGCCTTTTCTATTTCTAAAACCTACATTCTGCCCCACAATAACTATGTAAAATTGAATAATGTTTAAAATACAAGAAAAATATTTTATTTGCAAGTTCCTTCATTATTCCATGCTTATATTCTTATTTGGCATTATTGAGAATGAGTTTTTATCAAATCTTTGCAATCTCAATTTTTTTTTTCAATCCTGCATTTTTTGGTGTGGGTGGGGCAAAGACTTTGCTTACAATTATAAAAATGTCTTACTAGTACATAAAATTGTAGCCTTTAACGAGGCTGTCATCTGTAAGTATAATACACAGGACTTAGTTTTGAGGGGAGCGGGAAGAGACATGCTTTCCCTGTTTACATACTGCAGGTGAAGAAAATTTCAGTGTGTGAAGGTAACACTTGTACAGTCCGGATCCTGCAAACAGGAATTTAAATTGTCAAGAAAGGCCTTTTTCGCATAGCAGAGTTCTCAGCAATTGTGGCCCTCCACATATTGAGCCAGCATACCTGATCCCAGCTTGGCATCCATGTATGCATTATGACAGTGCAAAGCTATTTGGATCAGTTCGCCATGCTGGGGCCTTTCAAAAGCTCTGTGTGGCTGCCTCAGGAGCCGCCTCACAGCGTCTGAATATGAATGACTAGTCAAGACAGCACTTCCAGTCTGAATTGCTGCCAAAGCAGCAGGAGCCTTCTGTAAAAGATGTAAAAGACACAACACTTTGTCACTTCAAGCAGTGGTGCTGAATGATTTTGTGTAACATAAAAACGGTATTTAATGAAATTTTCTACATTGTATTAATCTTTTACATCTGTACATTAGTAGATTCTTATTGCGTTAGAGTCAGAGGAGGCAGTTACAAAGTTCATACTGATTTCTTCCAAATAATATATGTACATTTGTGTCTATTGATACAAAGTTGATCCGTTTCCTATCTGAAGAGACTAGAGTTTTTGCTTTAAGGTATGATTTATAGAGCACGACTGTTTTCAGGAATGCTTATTTCTTTCTTTAGATGGCTACTCCTATGAGAAAGAAGCAATAGAAAATTGGATAATTAAAAAACGGCGTTCTAGTCCAATGACGAATCTCCCTCTTCAGAGACTTGTACTTACCCCAAACCGAGCACTAAAAATGGCTATTAATCGATGGTTGGAAACTCAGCAAAAATATAATGAAAAGCAAGCACCTTAAAGACTGTCACCTTTTTTTCAAAATTAGAGGAAATGAATCTAAAGGTATGCAAAACATTTCAATAGTGAGCTGCTTCCTGTTGATACGGTGCACTTTTTTTAAAAACACCGGTTAATTGATAACATTATCTCAAATAATTTAAGCCTTGACAAATGTCAGCTATTGTTACAAATGATTTTAAGTTTCTGTTATTGAATGAAATCATCATGGCTGCAGTGATATTTATATTAAAATGGATTCCATTGATGTAGGACTTGGTTTTGATTAAGTATGCATGGGTTAGAAAGTAAGTTTTATTAATTTCAAGACAGTATATAGCTTGTAATAGATTATGCTCTGCAGTAAGTTATTTAGCAACCAGCAAAGTAATGATGTGACTTTTCCTAGATTTCGATATCAGAGCTTGCCAAAAACTCCTGGGCTGAGCCCATAGTAGACCAGAAATAAAGAATTGAGGCCAGGGAGATGCACGTTTTTCTATCCCTGTCCTGGATCTCTAAGTGTACATATTTATGTTCCTGTTTATTCCAAAGAATGTGGGAACACCATGGCCCTGACAGAGAGCAACAGGTACTTAGATCTTTGGGATCAAAAGCCTGTCTTGCCCAGCCTTCTTCCAAATACCTTTGTGAAATGGGTCTGGTGTCATGTTTTGTTGAGCTCAGAAAGAGCTAGTACAAGGAGCAAGAATCTGAAGTTAGTTTTCCAGTTCTGAGATTTCCTAGGACTCTTTTATCAAGTTGACATGACCATGTGCTGTTAGATTTTGCATGACCTGGTGTTAACAGCAGAATTATTGCCCTGAAACCATGTTCCTTTTATTAAATGTGTTACAAACAATCTTTGTCTTCAGAGGACTATGATCAAGAATGAAGTGAAAAACTTCCCAGACTATGCAGTTTAACTAAAAGGGCATCTCACGACCAATTATAACTTTGTACAACTGCAATACATTCCTATTTCAGTGCCTTTCTAGATGTGTAGCCTAGATAGAAAGTTGACAATTCAACCAAAGTTGTGGCATGGAATAATTGTCAACTTATTGGAGACCAGCTGTTGAGTTCATCTACAAATATTAAACACTCACTTGGGTTCCAACAATTTTTGGAAGAGAGAAGTAATCTATGCAGATTGTTCATATATTTTACATTTGAAATGGATCCTAATTAAGCTTGCATTAATGATGACCTCAGCGTTGTGCTGTAAAACTACACTACTGAACCAGAAACTATATTAATAATCTTTTATTTAATAAGAGAAAAATACAGTAGCTGTGCAAAAAATAGATCTACAGAACAAGAGAATAAGATTGTACAAATACCAAGATAAACAATAAATAAGCTACAGAATAGATTAAGTCATTCCAAAACAGACTTTTTAATGCTTTTTTTAAAAAAATGTGTGAAGTTGTTATAATGTAACATATATTCTGTACATATGGAAATAAATTTGTTGAAGGGACTACAGAATTTTCCAGCTTATACAACCAGCCTTTATTACTTTTAGGAGCATCCTTACAAATGTGCCTCTTCAAGAACAATTTGTAATTTAAATAGATATTTCCTACTGCATACTGAGGAAAGTATCAATGGCCTTTATGTAAGCTTCTCCCTCAGATAGATATTAGATGTTCTATAAAAAATACTCTATGACCTGTATTTCTCTTTGTTTTTCTGATATAACACCTCAAAAGATGTTTAGATAAACTATGTAAAGTGCTGATTGTATGTTGTTAACTTGTCATATGAGTCAGTGCAATAACAAAGATGTTGAATAAAATGCATGCAAAATTTTACTTCTTGCCTTGCAATAATGATAGACAGCCTCAATTGCATGGAATAAAATATCACTGCTGAAATATTTGTAAAGATGATATATTTGCCAGGTTTATAAAAGTGGGAGAATAACAGTCAATCTTCCTTCTAAGAAAATACTCATTGACAAAAGTAAAGGTTCTGTGGGTTTCATCCTCTGGAACCAATAAATCAAATTTAAACAATAAACAATATACATGACCGAACAAAGTGAGTTTTACAACACAATCCTATAATCTGAGAAGTAAATTATATTTATGTTCATTGAGACTTAGTCCCCAGTGACTGTATATACCACTTCAGCTTCAGGACTGCAGATTTTTAAAATACATTTTTTTTTTTTAAAAAAAAGAAAAATTAGTTTGCTATACTGCCGCAGGCTGCGTAAATCCGAACTTGCAAAGATTGGCATAAATGATGGAACTTTTCAACTGTGTTAAGAAATACCTTAAGAACCTATTTTAAAAAAAACGACGATAGGATAGCTGGGTTAATGTTCATATTGCAGCTACAAGATCACATTTTTGTGATACACTCCCTAAAATATGAATAATAGCAGTAACCTATATGCCACTATTGCAGTATGTTTTACAGCCAAAAGCTCATCCCTGTTATTAATTTGCAACAGAACAGTGGCTCATACATTAGATTCTACAAAAGATCGCTTTGGTTTTGCAGAAGTGATGTGACTTGAATGAATGTCTTTGCTTAGCTGAGAATGCTGTTTGGAGAGAGCTTCCTGATATAAATGAGCCACCGGCTTACCTATCCTGTTATCTTGAGGACCGGCAGATGCTTGGTGCCTTAATTCCTCCAGTTCTTTAGATTGAGTTCCATTTTGGAGATTGTCTCCTATTATTAGGGAAGAGGGAGAGAAAGATAAACCCTGATTTGCAGAGTTGCTTGCTGGTTTGGAAGAAAACTCCCAGCTTGCAGATAAAGCTGTCCCAGAACTCTTCAGGACCCCTTCTGTAGCTTGGCTGTGCCAACTGCGATTCGAGGGGTTCATCTGCTGCTGCTGGAAGCGTACAGTTTTATCCATGATCCCCATGAATGGAATACTGCGGGACCGGTGTTCGGCTGAACCACTCTGACCAAGCCAGGCTTTGTTCTCCTTGAGTTGCGTGTCGAGATTTTGTCCTGCCATGCATTCAGAAAAGCTGCTGCTAGATGACAAGCTGCTTGTTGAGCTGGAAGGTGCCATGTTGACAGAAAGTAAACTGGCGCTACTTTGCTGCCTTAATTCACCAGTTCCTTGACTTAATGGAGGAGGAGGATACACGGCCAGCTTCTCATGTGTTCTGGACTTACTCATGAAAGATCCTTTGTCACTAGGCTGCAAGTAGGGAACCTGGCCAGCTGCTAATCTTTCATTGAAAAGTGCACAGGTACTGCCTGCTGATACTGTGTGTGCCCCATCTAAATGCTGTGCTTTATTGTTCGGAGTCATATGGTGCCTGGAAGTCACAGGGCTTGAAGGAAGATACTGAAGGTGCTGAATCTTTGTGCCAGACTGGCTAGAACTAAGTCTTGCCCCAGCCTGGGCAGAATTCAGATGCTGACTGGTTTTTACTATCTGAGCTTGTTTCGTGGACTGCACAGACAAGCCAGGCTCTCGCAAATATGCACTGCCAGCTCTGTTTGGAGGAGATACAGGCCTAAATTTCTGCTGGGTACCTTCCTGAGGGTTTCTGCTACAAGATAAAGAAGCCTGGGAAAGTGGCAATCTTGGCCTAGCTGGACCAGGTTCCTGTTCACACAAAAATTCTTCCTCTTTTATCTCTTCCAGGCTGAAGTGATCCTGCACAAGTACTTCACCCTCATAGTCAGAGTCATTGCTCTGCTGCGGCGCCTGAAAACACTGCTGCTTTTGTTGCTGCGTTCTCTGGAGCTGTTTGCACTCCTCTTCAACTCGAGCTAGCAGTCTCTTGATTTCTTGGTTTCCAGGGCACAACTTTATGGCTTCCCGCAGATCCGTGAGGGCTGCCTGAAATTGCCTGGAAGAAAGGAAATCCAAAAAAACAATGAGTTTGGCACATTCCTCTTTTCGCTACAACAAGCCACAGTGTATATATATATTTTGGCAGTTCCTTATATATATATATTTCATAACCCACTTTTGTAAATCCCTTTCAAGAGTAGCACGATAAGCTCCTGGCCTTATTTCCCAAAGCAGTTTCAAAAAAAGCAACCCCTTGTCAAAAATGCCCTTAGCAATAAAACAGTTTTCATGAAAGTGGCTTCTTTTTCTGCAATGGGCTTTCTTCTGAAGGAGATAAAGGACATTGTGTATAATCCAGAATGGTCCTGGGGAGTCTGGAAAGGTTCCTCTGCAGAACTGTGTATCTTCCCTTAACATTGCATTCCTAAGACATATGCACATCTGTGTACATTTCATACTATGGCAAGTTTTGGATGTGCTACAATATGCATCTAGAGAGCATGCAAAAATGTAAAATAGTAAAAAGTTTTATGTTGATGAATAGTGTAAAAATAAATTTGATATATTAAATAAAGACCAGATAAATAACTTGGTAAATGTTCTCTTACGTCAGCGACAAAACAGTACAATCTGCTACTTCCAAATATAGGAACAATAGGCCTCAAAACTCTTTTAAAAAATTACTGACAAAGAACAATAGAAAACCTAACCTAGTAAATTAAATAAATGTGGAATAATAGTTATGCTTTAATTAACATAATTTTCTGTTATTACTGTTAAATGGTATTTGTTATCTTGGCCTCATCCAGTTTTTAAAATGTGGCTCCTGACTCAAAAAAGCTAATGTACTGCTGTTTTAGACAAGAGCGCCCAGTCCAAAAAAATGTATCTCAGTTTGGAAAGGAAATAAATACACATAACCAAGCCTTGCTTTTAGCAAAGCATTATGTTTCCCCCTCTTTTTAGAAAATTATACCAAAAAGGGTGATAGTAAGGCTGTTTCATATATATTGCACATCCCAATATTTTCAATTTCGTTGAAGTCAGTGTTTGATTATGGCATTTAAGGAGGTGATTTTAGCCATTTTTTGTGCTCCTTCCAAAAATATCCCAATTAATTTTTTCCTCATAATACTGTAAGTGTCAGTTAACAGTTTTTCTGTTCAGTTCCACAGACCATCATGGTACCCCACCAAGACTGGAAATTCTGCCAGCATAAACAAACAAAAGTAACACAAAATATCCATTAACAGCTTGGAAACCAGTAGAAAACTTCTCGGTCTTTTGTCAAAATGTAATATTGAAGGCCGTATCATCATTCTTACACATTTTTTTAAAATATTACCAAAATATTATTGCAAAAGGGCTTTAAGTACCTGCTGTTCCTCTTGGCTCTTGCCCTAGCATAATATGCTTCATAGGATGTGGGTTTGAGGTCAAGGGCCTTGGTAGCAAATTCCTCTGCCATGCCAAAATCCTGCCAAAATTAACAGTGCAGAAATTAATATAACCATTTGACTGAGGAGTATCTGCTTAGATAACCTCAAGACATCTTCCTAATCCCACTTCTGAATCTGTTTGTGATCCATCTATACCTGAGATACAGATGATTGTCATGAATTGAAGATGTGGGTACCCAAATTGCTTTCAGAAATACCTTGATGTCTGAAAGATCAGACACTGTAAAAGATGTCTGAAAAGATATGCAAGCAGTCACACTTAAACAGTGTCAAGAACACATGGTGCCCTCCCTCATCCCCCACCCAATTTAAACAATACTAAAAGAGCCAAAACTTTCAAAAACTTTATATTCTTGGATGAAACTGTAAGTCATTACAAATGTTTTTTTTAAGGCAATTGCCCATTATTCAAAAAAGCTGCTGAATTAGTATTATCTAAACTGGCAGTTCCACCCAGAATTATTTTCTGCAAATCATACCATGGGGAAAAACTTGGAAAGGAGCTTACATTAGTTTTTCTGCGACATCTTGATAAATTCAGGTATAAGGAAACCCTGAGTTCATTGAAAGCTTTCATTTCTTCTCCAAAACTCTCTCGAGGAAACTTCCTTAAGGCATACTGATACCGCTGTGCTGCCTCTTTCATCTTCCCTTTCTGCAGATCAAACCACAGAACAATAATATTTCATTGCTGAAAGTGTTTTCAACTTTAAAATAAACTGGTAGTCCAGTGGGCATCATTAAAGACTAAAAAAGGTTGACTTCCGGTTTGAAAGGCTTCGGCGACAGACAGAAATCCGCGATCGTGCGCAGTTTCTGTCTGGGCTCGCCGCTGGAGCGCCCCGAGCCGGCTGGTTTCGGGGCTAAGCCACCCCGCAGAGGTGGTGAAGAGGGGGGAGACCGCCAGCAGGGTTGAGGAGAGCCTCATCTCTCCTCCTCAGCTGGCCATTACTCCTTTTCCCGAAGGCGCTTGTAGCGGTGGTCAGAAATGGCCACCACAAAGAAGAACTCGACTGGAAAAGAATGTGCAGGAGGAAGATAAGAAGTGAAAGTTTTGGCTGACCGGGTTAAATTGTAAAAGCAACAACCAAGGTACCCTGGAATTTAAACTTACAAAAAAATAACATCACTCCCAAAGAAGAGTCGGAAGCAGCGAAGGAAAGTGAAAAGGGAAAGGTTTGGCTTTTTTTTCCTTCTCTCTCCTTCCCTATACTGACAACTAAGAGACTTAAATAAGAAATCGGAAAAATCCGCTTTGACATCAATAGGCAATTAAGCTGAAAATAAAACAAAATGCCAAAGGGATAATAAGGATTTCTGGACATTAAAAACTTTCTTTTTCATAAGCAGGAAGGGAGAGAAAAAGAATAAGGGCAGGATCTGGAAGAGGGAGGAGACTGCCTGGAATTAAAAAGAATCTACAGTAAAACTTCAACAAGACTTCTAAAAGATACATTTTAACTGAAACTTTGCAACTAAATAGTAACCCCAGGAAGAGAAAGTGAAAAAAAAAAGAGCAAAAAAGAAACAGCTTGCGTGTATTTGGATTATTTGGTGATCTTTGGATTC